CTATTCATTTCATTTCTACATAGGTTTAAAGCACGCGACAAAACATCACAGCAGTGGAAAAATTGACCCAATAAATGACAAAGCAGCCTACTCACCTAGTTGCTGATCTCGATATCCTCATCTGATTCACTGTATGTTGCAGCAGAATGCCTTTAATCACCTGTACTAAGTGGTCTGTGCTTCTCATTGCAATGTTGTGCTCGGCTAAAAAGCCACAAAGCCGTGTTACTAGATGCAATGTGAAATTATCGTACATTTGAGGATTTTTGAAACTATTGATCGTACATCATACAGAGCCCAAAATTATGGTACAAATACGATAATTATCGTACATCTGGCAACACTGCAACACACCCACTGCTGACTGATAAACCAGCTTATCAGTCAGAAAATTCACACCTTCCATTAGAGCAAGCCTCTGATTGGTGGGTAGAATCAGCCCACATGGGCTTAAGGCATGCTCAATTCATTATCATTCATTATCATGCTGATTACCCAGAAGCTGAAAATGTCTCTGACTGCATTCCTTGCGTACCTAAGCTAGGATGTGTGGAATTAACCGGGCCAGGCTGGGGCCGACTGGGCCGACCAGGTACAGATGGGAATGGCCCATAAGTACTAGTGTAAAGTAAATACAAGTTTAAAGTAAAGACACATATAAAGTACTAGTATAAAGTGGACTAGTATAAAGTAAATGATAGTTTAAAGTAAGTATTAGTAGAAAATTAGGACTAGTATAATGTATGGACTAGTGTAAGGTAAATACTAGTATAAAGTAAGTACAGTATAAAGTAACTGGTAACTCAAACATCCCCAAAACATCAGGAAACTCCACCTCCATTTCACAGTACTTTTCACTTGTTGACTCCTCTCCAAACTTAACGTTTATGGTTTGGTCAAAAAGCTCAATTTTGGTGTTATCACTCCAAATGATTTTGTTTCAGAAATGTTGAGGCTTGTCGCTGTGCTGTATGGCACATTGTAAGCAAGACGCTTATGGCATTTGCATAGTTATGGCTTTCTTCTGTCAACTCTGCCTTGTAGCCTATTTTTCTTCAAGTGCATCCTTTTGTGCCACTTGGAACAGCCATGCCACTTTCTTTGAGGGAGTCCTGAATGTCAGCAGAAGTTTTTGAGGGGTTTTCCGTAGGTTGTTGTAGAAATCTTTGTTGGTCTACCTCACCGTGGTTTAGTTTAAACAGAATCCCTAAGTTTCCACTTCAGTGAATATGTTCTTATAGTCCTGTCTTGTTTTAAAGAATTCAATCACCTTTTCTTGTAGATCTTGCGACAAGTTTTTTGCTTTCTCCATGACTCAGGAACTGGAAACATCAGTACCGCTCTGGATGGAAGATGCGAGGGTTTGCACAAAAACTCACTAACTTTTATAATCACAGACTGACTGTAAGGAAACATCACAGATGAGGATGGTAGGCAGCCATTCAAACCCATTTCTGTCAAGTTGTGTACATTTTTCAGGCCAAAATTATTGGGGTGTGTAAACTTTTCCACAGGGTCACTTTGGTATTTTATTTTGTTATGGTGATTTGAAATGAGCTGTGGTGGACTGCCAATCTGTCCAGGTGTACCCTGCCTGTTTGTCCGAAGACTGCTGGAGATAGGCTCCAGCTCCCCGCTACCTGCGTGGATAAGCGGGTACAGACAATGGATGGATTTGAAATGAGTTCAGTTTTTTTTTTCACAAATAAATGGCTTCAAAACATCATTGACCATTGGTGAAAACAAAAAGGATTTTGTATTTTCAATAATATTCTTTTAGAAATGTAAAAAAAAAAAAAATCTATAAATCCATGTGTTAATTTATTGGCCCTACTCTATTTAACATCTGCAGTCTTCAACTTTTCATCACTTTTCATGCAAAACATATTTTTTTAACATTAACACTGTTGAATGTATGAAGTTGGCTTATCAGCCTGGTGAGCTTAAACTCATTTAATCTACAATGAGTTACTTACTCAGAAAAATACTTCAAAAATGGCCAAAATCTCCATTTCAACAGTATTGTCATGACACTATTTTTGCAAACATGCCTGTGACTTTAGTTTATTGTATTGCAAAGAGGAAAGAGACAGAAATTGTTTAAACTACCTATTTGAGCAGGGCCGCTGTTGATACTGCCACCCCATCCTGATTTATCATAGTAGGGTGGGGCCCCGATGTCAGTGCAGTGGCTCTGCCCCAAACTATTATTGTAAATAATAAAATGAAAGCAAATGAAAAAGTCATAAAAACTTTTTTTAACTATATTAATGTAAAAAATGAGACAAAGCGTTTTGCAACATAAAGACGGAGATGTGTGTTTTGAGACATGTGCTTTGAAAGTAGAATTTTTTGGTAAGTCTGCAATTTACAAAACAAATGTTTCATACTACAAAATGAAAGATACATGTTATAAAATGAGAATGATAGTAGTTATAAAACATGATACAAGCCATGTGACAGAAAGAAAAGATAAACCTGGGCAGCTGAAAATAAGAAGAAAATATGATTTTCATTACGCAGATGAAGAAACAGTCAATTACAAGAGCTACAGTAAAACAAGCAACATGCATTTCATAAAATAACTTAGACCAATGCAAGATCAGTAAAATTCAATTAAAATAAATCAGCAATAATAACAGCACATTTAAAAATAAAAGGAATATTATAGTAAGTGAAGTTTACTTATATAACACTTATCACAGAAAGAAAAATCACAAAAAAAAAACACCAAAATAAATCATAAAGTCATAAAACAAAATGAAAAAGTAAATAATAAAATATCATAAAATGGTGAAAGGTAATTAAAGGGACTTTACGGACTTTTGAATTTTTATGCTCGCGATTGCCCCCTCAGGCCAAAAGCGTAACGGCAGCTTCAATAGTAGGCTCGTGCACAAGGCGCGCATGCTGTACGTGCACACTCCTTAACGAAAATAAAAGCTGAGACAGTCCCGTGTGTGTGTGTGTGTGTGGCCTGGAGGACAGAGGACAGGAGAACGCGCAGCTAATTAATTAAATAAATTGGTTCTGTACCTTTCTCTTCAGCACAGCCGACAAAGGTTTAAGATGGGTCAGTCCTCCTGCATGCTCAGATCAGTCCCTTCCCTTGCTTGAAAAATTGTTCCAAAATGAAAGTTGAACCCACATCTTTTTTTATCTGTGAATTCAATGCCGTTCGGCGAGTCTCAATTAAAAATTTGGACATCTTACTGTAAAAATATATACCATTAATGTAAAAAAGAAACTCTAAATAAACTATGTTCACACCCAGAATCAAACCCAGGTCTTCTACTTGAGAGTCAGACGTCTTACAAGGTGAGCTACACTCTACTAGCAATCACAGTATCTGTAACTTATTTCCTTGATGACACCTGAAACAACGTCAAACCAAAGAACGGTTCAGAGCGAAAATGGCTATTTCGTTGTTAATTTGCAGGAAATATCTAGAAGAAAGTTCTACATAAAGTAGCTAAAGGTCCTCAGAAATGTAGCTAGGTTCATCACTAGGCGTTAGGAACAGCGGCAATGTCGCTGAGTTGGCACTGCCTCTCTCTCTGCTGCTAAAGCTACTGATAGCAAATGCTACGGGCGATGCCTGAGCGTGAACGCGCATGAAGCAGCCTGCTCGACCCGAGCAGCTCTCTTTTTCTGTGATTTTACAGAAAAACAGGCAATCACAGTAAAAATGCCAGGGCTCATTCTACAGGACCAGGGCATTGCAGGAGAATGTATGAAGAAGAAATTTATTATTTCTATACATGTTTTGGCTGTCGAACTTCCATAATGCCCCTTTAAAATCAGAAAACACAAAATATTTAGACACTTAACTCATTCACTGCCAGCCGTTTCCTGATCGCTAAAGGCCTTCGCTGCCAGCGTTTCTCGCAGTTTTCACAGTTTTTTTAAGAGTCACAGAACATTGCGAGCAAGGATGATGTTGACACCAAAACAACCAAAACAAAGAGGAGACTCACTTCTAACATCAGGAAGAATCTGCGTGTTTCGAGCGTTAGCCGTTCTTTCATAATCCGTTGTCGATTTGTGATCGGCAGACGCTTTTCCAGTTTGCGCCTCACTTTATTTTACAGCAGCGGCCCAAAATGATCTCCTAACACATGGATGTTCTGCTTCCTGATCATGTGACGTGTGACGTATGCGGATGAAGATCAGCTTCAGAGCTGAGATGTTTGTTCTCTCGGCGCAGGGGCTCTTTATGATGCCCAAACAATAAAAAAATGCAAATGATGACTTTATTTGTCATTGGCAGTGAGCGGTTGGATTTAAAATGACTACTTTAATCGTCAGTGGCAGTGAATGAGTTAAATAAAGTTACATAAAAATAACACAATTATTAAAATGATCATAATAAAACTACAAAAACATCAAAACAGCAGAAAGTTAATTAAAAAGTCGTTTTACAGGTGAACCCCCCCCCCCACTAAATATTAATATATTATATAATTATGAAGTCATATAAATAATGAACTGTTCTGCGTAAAGAAATGTGTTTATAAACTAAAACTGTAAAAAAAGATGTGAATGAACAAAATAGTTTATGCTATTGAATACAAATAATCATCAAACTGAAGACTGAGACTGAATTTAAGGGATTAAATTAATTAGAGATGAACAAAAAGCAAAATTTCATGAATTTTCACCAATTTATAAATATAACATAATTTACTTTGCAATATATAATCTATGAGACACAAAATGGCAACATTTACTTCTGGAATTTATATTTTCTGTGCACTTATTAATACTTTTATTAACTATTTATTATTATTGTTATTATTATTATTATTCAAGTACGCTGATTAGGTTACATGTAGTAAAATATGTACAGTATGTTTAGGGGGGTGTGGGGTGGGGGTAAGAATTCTTGGACAAGGAAGGGTCGTTGGGGCGGCGGGGGGGGGGGGGGGGGGTGAAAGAAGAAGCTGCAGCGCTTTTGGAGCAGGGTCAAAGATTAAATTTCAACCCTGCAGCATTCCCCTCAGCGCTCTGTAACAGAGCGACAAGCCTAACTTCTCCACGGGCAGCAGATTAACACCACAGCGGTCCCTGACGGAGACACATGGCTCCCCTCTGCCTCCTCCTCGTAGATCATGAAGGAGGGACAATTGGGAGGTCTTTTCTGGACATCAAGAAGACGAGGGAACCGATGCAGAAACTGTTGCAGAAAGAGGGAAGGGTCAGCAGGCACCTGGAGGTGGAAGTACAACAGCAGGGTCATGGCCACTGTCTGTAGGTGTGATTAGCGGGAGCAGGTGGACACACAGGTAAAGACGGAGACTTTTGTCACTAGAGGCTAAAGTTTATAGAAAAGTTTCAGAATAATTAAACATGTTTTGCAGGTTTAATTACATTATTTCCTAAACCGTATGGCTCATAAGTAATAAGTAATTTCTGTAAACACAAAAATGATGTGCCAATAATTTTTTATTGCAGCTTCCACTAATCCTCTTCTGTTCAGCTGCGTCTTTGCAGCAGGTTTAACCTTGATTCTTCCTTCTTTCAGCACAAAGACTCAACAAAATTTACAAGCAAATAAAGCCTCCAAGGCTGAGAAATGGATAATCAAGACAAGCAGAGAGTGTCAGACAAAGAAGGGGAAAAGTCGAAGGCTGAGGAGGTCAGTGATGAACAAAAACAAAGCAAAGACAAACACAACAAACTGGAGAAGGAGAGCAGTGAGAAGGAGGTGAGGGGGGAGAACCGTCGCCCCTGGAGGAGTAACTGGGCACTGGCTGAACGTCTGGCCATCAACGTTTCTGGGATGCGTTATGAGACCCAGCTCCGTACCCTTGCCCAGTTTCCAGACTCCCTGCTGGGTGACCCCCAGAGGCGCCTTCGCTACTACGACCCCATGCGTAATGAACTATTCTTGGACAGGAACCGCATCTGCTTTGATGCCATCCTCTACTTCTACCAGTCAGGGGGAAGGCTGCGGAGGCCCGCTAACATCCCCCTGGACATGTTCCTGGAGGAACTGCACTTCTACGAGCTTGGGGAGGAGATAATCGACCGCTTCAAAGAGGATGAAGGCTTCCATAAAGAGGAGGAGAGACCATTACCCCCCAAAAAGTGGCAGCAGGACATCTGGATGCTGTTTGAGTATCCAGAGTCTTCTGGTGGAGCTCGAATCATTGCCATCATCAGTGTTATGGTCATTATCATCTCCATTCTCATCTTCTGCTTAGAGACTCTGCCGGAGTTCAGACATGAGAAGGAACGAAGGGAGGTGAGGAGGAAGTGGAGGTTGTTAAAACAGATGAATGAAAACAAGTCACTGAGAACAGTTAGAAAAGAAAAGAGGGCTAGAAACTCATCTGGTCCTACAAGTTTGTCTCCATCAACAGTATTAAACAGAGGCTAACAGCAGAGAAGAGCTTAGTATGAAGGCTGAATGTAAAGCTAAATTCACTGTAAGAAATCATCTTTAGAAAAACAGCTCTAACTCAATGCCATGGCATTTTTCATTCGGTAAACAGATATTTGCATTTCTGCTGACGTAGATTTTATTTTAATAACTAAACACACAATTAAACAACAAAAATGTCCCTCAAGTATGTAGTCCTACTTTCTTAGAGGTTTAGTTTATAGCCTAGAGAGAAAGGAAGAGCATTTATTTTCTGAGATTTTTATTAAGGCTGAATGAGATGAAGTTTATGAACAGTCAGTGTCTTACCTGCAGTAGACAGCTGTCAGCAAAATCTTAGTCTGGGGAACCAGGGAGACATTGTTTACTTGATCAGTATGCTAGCTAAACACATTTATGTTGCCTCTTGTAATTCTGTGGTTCGAAGCTGCTTATCCTGTCGTTGGTTAGAAATGAGTTGTTATTCCACTGGTCTTGTGCCAGACAACACACAGAGAAGCTGAGTTGCTGTGAATACAAAGACAACTTACTTTGCTTGAGAAAAATTAGATGAAACAACACCATTGTTTAGAAAATATAAAATTCTGATGAACTTCGTTTATTTATGGCTAACTGAGCAGCAGGAGTGCACGCTGCTAGCACAGCGTGCTAACAGAAAAACAGAAAGCAAACAACTGTTTCAAAGAGATGAACTGTAAAAACATTTAACCCAACATTCATTCAAACATCTAGAAAACCTTATTTAGAGCTATTTTGCATGGTAGGGCTTCATCCATAAATTGGTTTCGCTCTAGCTGTCAGACATGACCTCTTTCTACAAACGGTAGGAAACTGATCACTACACCCTGCTAGACAAAAACAATGCAATAAAAGCCCATGCACCATCTCCATGGAGCAGTTGTTTACATTCATAATACTCGATGCTCTGAACGTCTGTGGTTAGATGCTGTGGTTCCATTACGAAGGGCGTAATGAAAACTGAGTTTTCACTTCATAATAAACTTTATTTTAACTACCATTTTGAACAATATTAATAAATATAAAAATATGATATTAAAATATGTTTTTTTCCTACTCAAGGCCTAAACTTAATGCCTGGTGACCTACACCCCAATTTTGGGAACTGGCGCCGTACAGCATCGATGGAAAAAGCATGGATCTCATGAAATGTACTGTAAAAATGTAGGTTATTATTGTTGCTATAAATCAAAAGTCAAAAGGAAAGAGAGCGTTTTGCTGTTGGGGGTGGGCCATGCAGACGACATGCGATGTCTCATACACCTGCCGGAGCCATTTGGATGAAGTGGATACTTTAAAAATAGTTAGAAGTGAGAGTGAATGAAAGGACTTAGAAGTAGAAGCAAGTGTGAATGCGGAGAACGAGAGCTTGTCTCACATTACTGCTTGGAGACCTACAGAGCTATTCATAGACGGACAACCCTTAGAGTGCATCAACACATAAACTAATGTCCATATTAATAAAGGCTGTGACTCACAGGCGTGGAAGAGACGGTGACAGGTCAGTTTTTCTGATGACGACTGCAGAATGAAATTAGCTGGTGGATGCTTGTGTGGCCAAGAGACAAGACGGATTCTGGGTTAAAGGAGCAGAAACGATATGTACCGGCACCCAATGAGTTTCTGCTTCATCGTTTGTTGATACAAATCACACTGTAGGAGATCTGAGCTAATCTGGGCTCCATCCAAACCTGCATACACAGCTGTTCCAACACAATCAGATGTCCACCAGCTGGAACATCTTAAAACAATCAGTTGGTTTTCTTAGATCTTGACAAATGATTGCTATTGCTTTTTTTATTTGACACATAATTGATTAGAATTATGTTAGCAACAAACCAATCAAGCCGTGTTGTTCAAGGAACTTTGGTCCAGAGCCAGACGTCCAGGTACTCAAAAATGTGTTTTTTTAAGATAACAGGAAAAAAAATAAGGACTGCCCTGCACAGTCATATCCATGGAATCATTTTTTAACTTTTATTGTAAAATTGAGAAACTGCTGGACAGCAACTGGGAAACAAGGCTGGAGAGAAACTAAAAAAGTAAATGGCTCGGTTTGCAGTTTATTGGGTTGATCCAGCTGAAACTCATTTAATGAATTACCTCAGACCTGCATGAAATCCTCCTATCATCAAGGCTATAATGTACACCAATGGCTTAGGAGAGGGATGTTTATTCAGCTGTGCGGTTAACTTGGACTGCGTAATGCCTGTATCTGAAGTAAATGACAAAACCACCTATCTGAAAAGTTAAATGAGGCGTGTAAAAACCTCAATCACCTCTTTCGAAATGGTCACTGGGTTGATCGACCCAACTAGGTCATTAGATCAACTCTCCGTGAAGAACAGTTTCACTGCAAAATGTTCAAACACTTTGAGTAACTGTATCTAACTTATTAAAAGACACTGATGCTCAGTCATCTGTCCCTGATAAAAACAAACGGCTGCGTTAAACGAAGTGCCAGATGACTGTAACACAAGCCGTAGTCACTTGAACTTAAGGTTTATTTGTGTATTTAAATATAGATAAAGTGATTTATATAAAAGTCTCTGGAAAAAAAAATGAACGCTGGGAGGGTGAAAAAGGAGAGGAGTGAAAAAGTTAGCACGGTATCACGGTATCCTGATGACCCAAATGTTTTCTCTCCAGTAAACACCGTCTCCATGGAGCTACTTACTACCAGTCTACTCTTTTATTCTCACCTTTCTGTCTCCAGGTCATGTTTGATAAGCATAAAATGAAAGGAAATTATTTAATCAGAGTCTGATCACTTGTGTTTGCCTTACAGCAATTCACCACCACGCCTCATCCCACCATCCCCAACGAAACCATCTTGATCCCACCAAAGTTCACTGCCTTCCACGACCCCTTCTTCATAGTAGAGACTGTCTGCATCTTCTGGTTCTCCTTTGAACTCATCATGCGCTTCATCAGTGCTCCAAACAAGATACGCTTCTTCAAAGACATCATGAACATCATCGACTTTTTGGCCATTTTGCCCTTTTTCGTTACACTGGGCACAGAGCTCGCCAAGGACAAAGGCACACAACCCTCCGTGTCCCTGGCCCTCATCCGGATCATTAGACTGGTGAGGGTCTTCAGGATTTTCAAGCTTTCTCGTCACTCCAAAGGCCTCCAGATCTTGGGTCAGACACTGAAGGCTAGCTTGCGAGAGCTTGCCCTACTGATTTTCTTCCTTTTTATTGGGGTCATCCTCTTTTCAAGTGCTGTTTACTTTGCTGAGGTGGACAGTATTGGCACATCATTCACCAGCATACCCGAGGCTTTCTGGTGGGCGGTGGTTACTATGACAACAGTGGGCTATGGGGACATGAGCCCGGGGACGGTTGGGGGAAAGCTGGTGGGCTCTATGTGTGCTATTGCTGGTGTGCTCACCATCTCTTTGCCAGTTCCTGTCATCGTGTCCAACTTCAGCTACTTCTACCACCGAGAGATGGAGTGTGAGGACAACAGGGTGTACAGCCACGTTCCCACATCACTCTGGGAAAAGGACGGGGAGAATGAAGACGAAGGTGAAGAGGAGGATGGATTGGATGAAGGTCCGGAGTACATGGGGGATTATGCACTCCTGTCACAGCAGAACAGGGCCACGAGCCCTCCTCTCAATGGGCGTCTACTAGGTGGACTTTGTACAGAACCGGTTGCAGGTGATCGGCAAGGGATTACGTTTAGTCTCAAAGAACCTATGGTCACCCAAGTTTGACGGACAAGAGACAGATTGGACACAACAAAGAAAAAAATGCAAGTCTGGTGTAAAATATTGATCAAAGACGCAGCTGGGTGTAAGAGAAAGAATAAAAAGGAAGATGGACACAAACCAGGTTCGTGACTATAGTTGAGGCTTTGTGTGATTTTGTTGAACATACTTATGAAATAAGCTGTTTGCCCCAAAAATAAACACAACTCTTTGTAACTTGTGTGTCCAGATCTCTCTGCACAATAAGATCAGCTTTAACCTTTATAGTTATTTAGTTTCATGTCAGGTTGAAGTTCATTCATTTCATTTTGTTTTATCTAAACATTATTTAACCACAAAGTCCGTTCAGAGCAGCATTGCTTTCCAAAGAAAACCTGATCAAGATGGCACACATCATTAAAAGCTATGTGCACAACAAAAACATTAATATAACAAGTGAAAACCAACCAATGTCTTACAAGTGGTGCATTTTAAGAGAAGCATCTGCAACCTCTCGGTTATACTTCAGAAGTCTTTGAGACCTTAAGCAACAAATCAACAAGTCATGTGGACAAATCAAATAGGACAAGTGAAATAAATAAACGGGGGTTAAATACTTGATTAAAGAAGTATGTTTTTAAAATTTTATTTATTTCTGGAGTGAGTCTGAAGCACAGTTATGTTGGGGCAGAAAGTTGCATATGGCGGGAGCTGGCATAGCAAAGGTTCTGTCCCTAAAAAAGAAAAATATCTCAGAAAACGTTCACGAGTATGGACGAATCCCTTCCTGGTTTCCTCAACAACATGAACGCCAGAGCTTGGTTTCTAACATTTTTTGTTTTGTTTTGTTTACTCTTTTCCAAATTGCAGTCAAGGAAATATCGCAAAAGCTGCATATTTTTGGTAGAAAGCTAAATCTAAAAAAGAAACTAAAAAGTCCTTGCAAAGCATTTAGAAAATAAATAATTAACGTACATTTTTAGGTCTGAAAAAATTAAAACTTTAGATTTTTACCATTTGATGCATGAATTATGAAATCTTCAACCATGATTTTTTTTAACAATTTTTTTCATTCATCTTTAGGTGTGAATGAAACAAATTTCATATTTACATATTTTTTGTTAAATGTAATTTACAAATAATTTATTACATGTCCACCTCAGTGGACAGTGTGCAATCTGAACATGAAATATGTTGGCTTGACTTACTAAAGTACAAATGGGGGGTTCAAATGCAATAAAGTCTTCAACAGCTGTGCTTAATAGCAAAAATAAATAAATAACAATTTTAAGAACCTGTCCACTGTAGTGACCATTATGCATCAAAGGGTTAATGCTGTAAAAATTGACCTAAAATCAAAACATCAACAAAAAAGGCACCAATAAGTGTTTTTATCGGATTTACAGTCAGATTTAAAACTAATTTTTTAAGAAATTGGACAATTTTATCCTTGAAGTTTGTTGTCAGAACAGTCATGTGCAATATTTACCAAGGAGTCATGTGAAGGTTTAACGTTTGGGATTCATCTTTAACTTTAAAATTGATTGAACTGCATTTTTGTGCAAAACACAGGTTTCATTCCAGATGGATTAAAATATCTGGGGGGTTTAAATGAGTTTTGAATAAGTTCAAACTTTAGCTTTAAAGCTTCCTTCTAGAAAAATATAACTGATTTCAGATTGCTTTTGTATGTTATGTGGAAGTCGTCGTCGTCTTCCTCCGCTTATCCGGGTCCGGGTCGTGGGGGCAGCATCCCAACTAGGGAGCTCCAGACCGTCCTCTCCCCTACCACCTCCACCAGCTCCTCCGGCAGGACCCCAAGGCGTTTCCGGACCAGATTGGAGATGTAACCTCTCCAACGTGTCCTGGGTGGACCCGGGGCCTCCTGCTGGCAGGACATGCCCAAAACACCTCCCCAGGGAGGCGTCCAGGAGGCATCCTGTCCAAACCACCTCAACTGACTCCTCTTGATCCGGAGGAGCAGCGGTTCTACTCCGAGTCCCTCCCGAATGTCCGAGCTCCTCACCCTATCTAAGGCTGAGCCCGGCCACCCTACGGAGGAAACTCATTTCGGCCGCTTGTATCCGCGATCTCGTTCTTTCGGTCACTACCCAAAGCTCATGACCATAGGTGAGGATTGGGACGTAGATCGACCGGTAAATCGAGAGCCTGGCTTTCTGGCTCAGCTCCCTCTTCACCACGACAGATTATGTGGTTATGTGGAAGTTCTATAACTAAATGTCATCATTTTGTGACACGCTCTGCTGCTCTCAGCATGCTGCGGGCGCTGCAGGTGTCGACGTTGTGCGCATTACAGTTACGGCAGAGATGTGGCCCTCTAATCTCATTCCGACGAGGACAACAAAGAGATCAGTCATCCGCTGGTGGAAGTGCACACACGGTTAACCGTCACACATTTACGCAGTGTAACTGATACAACTTAGACATTAGCAAATGCTGATCTCAGGTCAGGGCCAGCTGACACTGCTGTCACAAGGCTGAGGTCTTATCTACTGCAGGATGAGGCAACCACCATGATCTATGGCTCAGTAAGTTGTACTACAACTGAATTTTACAGAATGAATTGAGATTTTTACTTTTAAAGTGTTTTGATAATCAATTATTCATAATTGACCACAATATTTTCAGTGACCATCCTGACTTTTGGTGGAATAATATTTATTATAAAGACAACCAATTAAATCAAGCAGACCTCCACTTAGGCAACGCTGAATATTGCATACCTCTCTGGCAAAGTCAGCAAGTTCAAGGAAAGCGTATAAAAATAGATGGATCAGCATTTCTTCACCTGCTTTTACTTTAAAATGTTAAACTTAAAACCTTAAAATGGAAAATGAAAAAGATATAGCTATTCAAATAAGCCCTCACATTTTTGAAAATGTTGTTATGCAGTCTCGCGCAATACAGGAAAACCTTGTGTCATGTTAGCTTGGAGTATGTGCCGTGGATGTCTCTCAGCTCCTTCCACATTCAGTCTTAGGAGAAAATCTGTTGCATTTACAGCGTTATAGGATTTTTTTGTGTTTTTAAAATCTGATTCACTGTGGAGGTGATCCTAAATCATGTTGAACTCAGAGGTCAACAGCTGTAGGTGTTCATCCAACGAAGGCTGGGAGTTTCATCGAAATCCATCCAGTCGTTTATAAAATGTTATGCTGTCAAACACACACACACACACACACACACACACACACACACACACACACACACACACACACACACACACACACACACACACACACACACACACACACAGCACAGTGGCAGAAAAGAATTACAAACTCCAGTTCTGTCTGAATTTATTTTAACAACTAAGATATTGTTTCTGCTTTAATTTAATGACCCTAAATTAGTTTTACCGCCTAACCCAACACATTGGACAAAGGTTGAGCCTGCCTCAGAGTCTCAGCTGATGCCTCTATTTTTAGGTACTTCTATCCTCCAAAATAAAATGGTGTATTTATAGAAAGTGGCAAAAATATTTGTTGTTTACCAAAGTGTTTTTATATTCGTCAATAATTTATTAAATTTAAGATGTCCACATCGATTTAAGTCCATAAAATGAAATTTTGGTTTCATAAAAAGAAAAGTGACGCTAAAATAAATATGTATGATTTGTTTGACAGTGTGGACAAAGTGTGGCCTGCATACTGTGCACAGATGTGGCTGTGTGTGTGTGTGTAAACGTCTTTCTTTACCTAATAAAAATCACGTTTTACCTCTCACTTTCGGGATTTCTGCATTCCTTCCACATGACTCAGTCAGGGGTGGCTCTCAGAGGATGTGAAGATGAAGATGAAGATGTGAGCTCAAACCTAAACCTCGAACACTCTAGGTTTTTGATCCTTGTAGTCTTCTGGTGTTAAATGTTGTGAAATCTCAGGATTTATTTTGACTTACAGCTGTCTGGTGGTAACCTGTATCCGATGCACCCTGCTGCTGCATGTGATGAGGGATTTGACCTCTAGATGTCACACTGAGTTATAAAACAGCAGCAGCAGCACATAAAACATGATGCCTCCCACTTTCATGCTGCTAGTGAGCTGGACTTATGGCTTTGTGACTTACTTATTACTGAAATAAAACATCTGTTATTTAGAAATAATGCTGCTCGGTTACAACTAAAGACAAAGGAGATTGATATAAAGATATAAAACCTCTACAAGCAGTCCAAAAGGATTTAGATTCTGGGCCATGGAAGAACACGTGTGAGACATAATGTAAAGCTGAAATACTTCTTTAAGTCGTGGTGATTTCCAGATGTTTTGCTTTTGCTCTGTAAACCTCAACACAGCTGGAAAACAATAGTACAAGCATTTTCATGGAAACAGTTGGGAAATCAAAAGGCTGCATCCCACTTACAGACATTTCTGGTTTTGCACATGTTCAACTTAGTTTGCACAGAGTCAGAAATGGAATGCGGCCCTCATTAATATCTCTGGTTACATTAGAGCTAAATAAAAGTAAGACATTTGAAACAATTTAAAGTTAAAAAAGAAAACAAAAGACCTGTAGGGATTATCCCAATTTCTTTTTATTACTAGACATATTTTTGTTTGAATATTTTTATGGTAATAGTTTAATTGCCTTTTTACAGTTCTTACATTTTTCCATTATTAAATACACTTTTATTCAGTTCCTTATGTTCATTTTACTACTGTTTTTACCATTTTTTATTTTAATTTCTATTTCAGTCTGTTTTCCTTTCTGTTGCTGTTGTTTGTCTTCAGTCACTGAAGTAAAAGAAGTGCTAAGAACAGTTTTGGTCTGTATTTAGATTATAGGTAGAGATCAGTTCAGGGTCGGTAACACCAGAAAAAAATACCCTCAATGTTTGAGATATTTTAAGCTTCTACAGGCTTAAAAGCAAAAACTAGAGCAGCATTTCTTACAAATATACTTAAACTTGGTGTAACTCCACATTTTAGACACCCACACAAGTGTGTACAGTAATTTATTGGTTAATAAATGTGTTCAATCCTTGTGCATTACCAGATTTACATATGTCTGTGTCATTTACAGTATGCTGCATAGTGCTGGAACCCAATTTTCATTTTTTACTTGTGGGCATTAAAGTTGTCGAAGGTTACAATACTAGCGTACCGCCTATGTGCATAAGTACCTTTGTTGTTATTTTATCTTCACGTTATTCTCTAAGTGTATGTGCTGCTGTAACAAGTGAATTTCCCCACTGTGGGATTAATAGTCTGTTCTATTCTATTCTATGAATGTATGTAATGGTATAATTTTTTTAATTTTGACTATGTAAGCTTTTTTTCCAACATTCACAGGAACAATGAAAAGAGTGAACATGCTGAGATCCAAATGTAAGAAAGGTGAACAGCTAGTTTTCCAGTTTTTAGTGCTCAAAATGCTTTATTGTTCTATTAAAACATTAAAGCTGCAATAGCAAATTTAGATGGGAAATGTAGTCAGAATGTCTGTTGTAACAAATTAGCTTAAAACATTTTTCATGCCTCCTAACAATGTTCTAAAGCAGGGCTGTTCAGCTCTGGGCCTCGAGGGCCGGCATCCAGCAGGTTTTAGTGGTTTCTCTGCTCCAAAACACCTGATTCAGTGATTTAATCACCTGTGCGGCAGCTCATTAGACTCTGCAGAAGCCTGTTAATTACCTTCTGATTAAAAGCAGGTGTGTTAGCAGGGTTAAAACCAAAACGTGCTGGATACCAGCCCTCGAGGCCTGGAATGGCCCTGTTCTAAAGTATAGCTATACACTTATTGTGGAGATAAAAGAATAAAATGAATAAAGTGGTTCTCTTGCAACTATTGGACTCTTCGGTTGTCGGTTTCACCGAGCCGTTGCGCTTCCAAACTTCACTGGGTCCTCCACTCATAACGCACTCACGCATTTAGCCACAGAGCACCACTGGTGAGAGGTTCTCTGCTCAACAACATCAGACAAGGAGAAACAGCCAGCTGCTACCACTTCAACTTTAGGACAAACTACTAGAGTCCCAAAAAGAAAAACGCCATTGGAAGTCACGGACAACAAAAGATGTTTGGACCTAGGAAACGGCGACTGGTGTTTAGCACTCTCTTGTTTCCTCTGGCCACACACGTTTCTGGGTAGAAACATCTCAGGGAAGATACCCGAGGGGAGGGGTGAGCCTTCTGTGACCATGTTTGTACGTTTGCCATAACAGCTTTAAACAAACAGCAAGATTTCACAAAAACACACAGATGCTTGAACCTCAGGCATATCTACCAATATACCTACATATAACACACACACACACACACACACACACACACACACACACACACACACACACACACACACACACACACACACACACACACACACACACACACACACACACACACACGTCCCTCTCAGAGATGATTGCTGCAGTGATTAAATTCCTGACCCCCTGTTGCCTCAGATATCCTCATGTCAGTTGTTGTAGAAGCAGCACTTTTCTGTGCCGTGGAGCAGATTAGTGTTTTAATCATAAACCATCGGTCCAACAAAACACCAAAGATTTCTATTTCCTAAACGATGACATAAGTTCAGAGACACAGGTAGCTGCTGAGCTCCAGCCTTCAGCACCTCCACCTTCTTGAATCTCTGACACAGCGACCCGAAGCTAACGGCATCCCTGCTTACAATCACCCACAATGCCCTTATGCTGTCTGGGAAGAATGAAAACCATTGACGTCTTTCACGCCATCTGCCGCCCCACCATTCCTCTCCCATCCGTCACTGCCTTGCCCAACTCTGACTCTTCTTTGAGAGGATTACGAGCATTGGTATCCCTGCGTGTCTTTGTCTCATCAACTGTAAGGGCAGCCTCGTGTGTAATTTGTGCATTTGGTCTGAATGTCTGTTGCATCCTCTCCATTCACTAATATCCTTGCCCAAGGGATTTTTTTCCCCAGTTTTAGTCAGCACACACTGACGCACGACCTGTTTTTGACAGCAAATCTACTGATGGTACAAGCTACCTAAGCAACATGAAAACAAGACAACAAATCATAAAGCAAAACAAATCTCCAAGATTTCATCATATGTGAATCTAAATGAATAATTAAAGATGTATGGGGAGGGGGCAGTTGATAAACTTTATTTTGAAATGAAAGGCAGTTCATTGGGAAAAGGACATCAGTTCAGCTGTTTCACAGCGATCAGAAATGAAAATAACAAAAAACTAGCTATAAACAGGCAACAAAATAATAACAACGTGCTTAGTATCCATCATTTCACACATACCAGAGAACCACAACAATCTTACATATTATAGACAATATTAACAAGAACAGTGAGTGTTGTCTGAGGGAGATGAGGAAGAGCACCAAGGATGAAAATAATGGGTGAAGAAGTTCAGAGAAGAGTATAAAAATAACTTCAGAGAGCGGTTTCCTTAATTTACCTTTACATTTAATCACGTTTTAGCCAAAAGGTTTAGAAAAAAGCTCTCATAGGAATGTTATTATTGAGCAGCTAACTGGGTTAGCATGCTTAGGGGGAGCTGATAATTAATCGGTTAGTAGATCTACAAAATAAATGTTTGGTGTATTAAAGCCAAATCTTAGCTGGGACCAAAAACTAAGCAACCACGATTAAAGTTTAGGTTATAAATCTGTGGCAGTAAAATCAGATACCAGGAGTGTTGAGAACCATGCCAGGTTTGTTTAGCACAGGACAGCTGGGGGAGACGAGGAAATGAAGCGTCTTCAGCTAGCTTCTTCGTTTCGTTTCAAAGTAAAGATTGTCACCGCTCAGGAACGTTTCACGGCAATGTTTCAGATTTGTCCACATTAAATCTTTTGTGAATTTACAAATAAGTCAGAAAATAACCGTGCAACCAGCTTGAAATCCTTCTCGGGGCTGTGCTGGAATGTTAGCGCTCAGTGAAGCAGACCGGAATAATCTGCTGTAAAATAAACACACACTGATTAAAGCCTTTTTCCTGGTTAAATACAGTTATGGCAGATCAGCAAGTGGGATGGCGCATCTCCGGTCGTAAGCGGTGTCATCACTCTCCTCACCATCACTCACTTCACTCAGAACCCTATCTCGGTCCTCCTCCTCCTCTGTTTCACTTTCTCGCCTCAGTCGCTCCCGTTCCCTGTCCCGGTCTCGTTCTCTGTCCCGGTGCCGGTCTCGTTCCGGGTCTCGTTCCCTGTCCCGGTGCCGGTCTCGTTCCCTGTCTCGCTCTCTGTGGGAGCGTGGAAGTGTGGAGACCTGAGTGCAAAGAGAAAGGTGTAAGATTCTGCAGCTTGCATTCAGTGTGCACCTGCTGGAACCTTCCCAAAGGAATTGTATGTTTTTATTAAACTGAGCTGTCTAAATCAGTTTTTAGTAACCAGTGTCTTACCTGCAGTAGACGGTACAATCTCAGTAGGATTTCAGTATGAATAAAATACTAAGAAGTAAACAACTGTCTAATGGGCTAGGACCCCGACAAAAACTTGGATCGAGGGCTGACTTTCAATGGATCGCAGCGAGGTAGCTGCTCTGCCACGCACGAAACCCTGACCCAGAATCAGGTCGTCTGCAAGTCATTTAGCACCACGTCCTCCACAAACGTGCAGTGCACAATTGGAGAGGGGCGGCCATCATCTGGCCGCACCCCAGCCCAGTCACGAACGGCTCTCCGCACCGGCCCGAGGGCCAGCTATCCGGGACCAACCGAAGATTTGCGGCGCTACGGTATCATTACGTCTAGGCGGGATTCTGACTTAGAGGCGTTCAGTCATAATCCCACAGATGGTAGCTTCGCCCCATTGGCTCCTCAGCCAAGCACATACACCAAATGTCTGAACCTGCGGTTCCTCTCGTACTGAGCAGGATTACTATTGCAACAACACATCATCAGTAGGGTAAAACTAACCTGTCCTGGTTGTAAAAACCAAACATCTCCTCAAGCTGCTCAGACAACTTCAACTAAAGTTGTTTCAAATTGTGGGATTTTGGTCCCTGTTCCGTGGAGCTGTTAGCTTATCCTCTGCTCGAGAAAGTCTCCCTGATTCTCTGAGATTGTACTGATGGTTTTCTTTGCAAGTAAGGTATTGGTTATTTGGAAATATAAAAAGCCACATTAATAAGCTGAACTATCTTGTAATAAAAAAATACAGAAACATTTAACACAAATAAATCAGTCTAAACAGAAAATAACACCAAAAGTATGCTTTAGCTGTTATTGTTTTATAAGGAGAAAAGGGTCCGCTTTAATTTCTAATAAATGAAAGAAAAAGAAGCAGCCGTGTGGGTTGAATACCTGGTTATCGTGGCTGGGAAGAGGGCAATAGCCTGGCTCCGTTCTATGGAGGAGACGTGGAGAGTGAGTACGGAAAGGTCGGGGGGAATGGGAGCATACGGAACGTGGAGAGGGAGAGCGGACAGAGTGTGGTGATGGAGACCGGATTGAACAGGAAGGTGAGTGAGTGATGGACTGGGATTGGGAGAAAACATGGCTGTGATGGTTTAGTTTGGGTGGACGAGGAGATCGAGGAGGCAGCTCGGGCGGTTTGAAAGGGTCAATCAGGTCCATTTCTGTAAGGATTGGTGGTGGAGGGATGAAATCCAGCTCCTCCTCTGTCGGGAGCTTTTCCACTGCATCAAATTCTGCAAGTTCTGCCTTTGACAAGTGATCCACGATACCGGCACCGAACGAGTCACCCACGACGTTGATGGAGGTGCGCATTCTGTCACTGAGCGGACAAACAGAGAGTCAGGAAGTAAAATGATATCTCCAAACAGCCATATTTTCACAGCCCATCAGAGGCGTTTAGGCTGCGACAGTCACTGCCCTAACATAAACCGCACAGCAGTGATTTATTCCCCCCCGCTATTCAGACACCTGACTCACAGCAGCCAGTCGACAGCGATCAGGAGACTGATGTCCTGAGTGGGCAGGCCAACAGCTGTCAGGATTAGCAGCATGGTCACCAGTCCGGCACTGGGAATACTGGCAGCTCCAACACTGGCCAGGGTGGCAGTCATACTGGAGAGAAGAATGTGTGTTTTATCTAATGTAAATACAGATGTTTAGTTTCAAAGTCAAGCGTTACGAACCTAACCTAACTTGCCTTACAGAATTGGCTCCAGCTGAGAAAGAAACATTTCTTCACAATGACCTTTTGCTGCTCTGACTACTTTGTTTTTCCTCTGTCTTCACCAGCATCCATACATGTGGTGTAGTTCTTAGATCAAATGCATCAGTGACAGGGAGGGTTATTAAAACACATTTAAATTACTCTTAACTTTCATAAGAAGATAATTCATTACCAAGAGTGAAAAAGTTTAAAAATGTTTAAAAACTACTGTTTTATTTTATTTTATTTTTTGAAAATTACTGAAGCAAAGTACCCCATAACACATTTCCCTTTGGTTTCTAATAGCGATAAAACTGAAGAGAAAACTCTTCATTACCAACGATAACATCAGATACGTTTGAAAGGTTACAGTCAGTCAGAGAGAGAACAGCAACACAAGAGATGAGTCCAGATTAGCAGGGAACAGTGATACAGAAAGAAAAAAAAACTCTTCTGTAAAACAGAAAGGACCCATTTACACATTTATTTTGTTTTTATATTGTAGTTTTTTCTAAACATAAATATTGCAGATCTGCAAACATTTTAATATCGGAGTAGTTTTCACTCGATGGTTTCTATCCACACCGATCTGATCCTGTGTAAATATCTCACTCCATCATGAATGGGTCAAAGGTCAGACATTCTCCTTCAGAGGTTGCTGCTAAAACAGTTAATGGTTCCATCAACAGCTAGTGAACCAGGTCAGAAGCCGTACAGCGGCCCCGGACCATCACACACTGGTGGTATCTATTTACAACGCAGTGTTAGTTTTCCTCCAGATATAATGGCACACACCTTCCAAAAAGCTTCACTTTTGTCTCGTCAGTTCACAGAATATTTGTCAAAAGCCTTGTAAACCATTAAAGTATATTTCGACACATACAAGGGTTTTGGCCTCAAAACTCTTTCATGTATGCCTTGTTCAGTATACCATTAGGAGAGTAAAAGAATACAGCAGCTCTAGTATTAACTAGAAAGACCCTTTTATTTAGGGTTAGGGTTAATAAAAATACAGAGGATGACAGAAGCATCCTTAACACCATCTGGAAATGTAAAGTGAACATTTCCATCGCTCTCAGAAATGGAGAAACGACAGAAGAATATTTTTGTATCTATAGGTACATATTTTAAAAATGTTGCCCCAAAGTTAAATATTGGTCTTTGGAAGGCCAGAAATGCCCCTTTAACACTAGAGCTCCCAAGGCAATGGTTCTGACGGTTGTCCTGACTTTTCGTATTTTTATGTTATAATTTCCACAAAATAATGTATCAAAAAAGAAATATAGCTGTTTTTGTCTATGTCTCTCACAAGCAGTCAGTCTGACAGCTCTATTGCTTACATGGATGATGGACAGCGTTGCTAAGCAACCAACTTTGTAGCCCACACTCGCTCACTCTCCGTTCAAACTCCGTGTGGAATTGCTGCTAATGCAACTTTTAGAAGATTGTTCTCAGTGAAACAAGCATGAGGATGGATGCCACTTCAGGCAGAGAGGGATGAAAACTGGTCAGAAGGAGGAGGCAGAGACTCTGACAGCAACGCGGAAGATGATCTCCAAGCCCTTCCATGGAAAGGAGCAGTGTCGGTCACCCAGCGAACGATAAAAAGGTATGGATTAAAATATTTTCTTACTATTTTATTAGGTTCACACATCAGTAATGAGTTACTTATTAGTGCACATCGTCAGACCTGCACTTAATGGTCAAAATGACAGACGTCAAACTGACGGTTACAGAAAATTATAGTGTTTTGGGTTCAGTTTGATATAAATTACACATTTGAACCATTTTAACCTGTTGCACCTGCAAGCCTAGCTTAGTCTGGTAAATTTCCATTCTAATAAGTTTCATTCATAATTTTAAAATGTTTTAAATGTTGTTTTGGCCTTTAAAAGCATGACATCCTTTGACTGCAGGGGCGGATTTAGGACTGAAGAAGATCCGGGGCTTAACACACACGCGCGCGAACACACGTGGCACGCACTAGTCAACATCATATATGTCTTGCACCACATAATGTTTAATCTGAAGCTACATATTAAGCATTTTCTGGGCAGAGTATTGTTCCTGTTAGTGTTTAGTGTGAGATGATAGTAAATATTCCCTTTCTTTCTCCAACAACTTTACCTGATGGGAAGCTAACTTTAGGCAAACCAGCAGCACAACAAATATTTTCAAATAAGACTCACAAACCTGAGTCAACACCAGTATCATCAAAGCTGGGGTTCTGTCGTTGCACTTTTGGTCTAAAAAACGTCCTTATGTCCATCTTCACTCATGCGTTTCAGGCAGAGAGTGTAGAAGAAGCCGGCTGCTGAAGGGCTTCTTCTTCAGTGGTGGAGGCTCAGGCAGGCTGTATACAAACTACTGCCAGCTGCTCCCTCTCTGTTGGACTTTGGTACTGCACGTTACTTCCGCGATTTAGATCTGGGGCTTTTCATGAAACATCCGGGGCTTCAGCCCAAGTAACCGGGCCTAACGCCGCCCCTGTTTGACTGTCGTGTCAGGTCATTAACTTTTTCGCTTTTACAACACCCTAGAATTCATTATGAGGTTTCTATGGAGTTTGCAACATTAAGTTTAACCAAGTTCTACTAAAGTCACAATGTCGAGCAGCTTTTTATTTTACGATAAATTGATTTTGTAAATTACCAAGTTATATAGTCCCACAAGACAGCAAAGCGGTTTCTAAACAACCGTGCATTAAGCCAAGGGTCCCGAAAGAATGAAGAACAAAAAAATGAATGCAAGTCAACGGGGCTAAAAGAGCCATTTCCTAATCCGCTTTGTCTTACACCCTGGATCACACATATGTTGTACTTCAATTTAAATGAAAAGTGATGATGGGTGTTTCGACCACACCAGTCACATACTTTGCGATTCATCGGCTTGTAAATTTTTGTAATTAGCATGACTATACATCAGACATTGGTACGTTGTGTATATGACATCACCACATAATCTCCTCTCTCCTAGCATAGCTGCTACTTACCAAATGGCCAGAATGATGGTGTTTTTTTCCTCCTGAACAAACGATTTGAAGTTTGCTGAACTTACAGCCATTTTTCCTCTGTTTTTCTCCGTGTCTAGTTCAATGACGTCAATTTAATGAAGACTGTGTGCCTGAGGTATTGTTTCGATGCTTTGATGTGATTTTTTTCAATGAAAATAAACAGTCAGACACCAAATGTTGTGGACAATTGGGGTACATTTTTGGTCTCTTTTAAGTACGAAATAGGTTATCACTGGGGGGGGGATACCCTTCAGTACCCCCCCCAATTCAAATGTCAAAGGTTGGGTACCTTTGACATTTGAATTGATACGGGACCAATTCCCGGTACCTACGAATCGATACCGGTACTTAACGGTACCAATTTTTGATATTTTTGAGTGTTTAATAATTACATAAATCGGTTATTTAATTAAATATATATTATTTCCACAATATATAACCATATTTGATAAATATCATGATAAATAACATACAACTGTTTGTATTTTGTCATCGTAGTGTTGTACAAAATTCTTCTATATGAAAACCTTTGACAACAACTGTTTCTAAATGACGCAAAAACAAACCCAGCTCCACATACTCCTATTCCTCTTCTACGCCCTCTGGAATAACTCTGATGAGGAGACCATGTATTATAAACTACAAATGAAACTAAAGCAAACTTCCACACCATACAACAGTTTGTATTTTAACGTTGTGGTGTTTCACAAACTAAACCCAGCCCCATGTACTCCTTTTCCTCTCCTTTCTCCTCTGGACAAACTGTGTGATGGTGGGTCCTTGTAGTTTTATAAACTGCAAATTACAGTGAAGCAAACACCTTTGCTGTGAACCAAGTTTACTGTGTATCTTCATTCCTTTTACCGTTCATTTTCAAACTGTTTATTTTTCCTACTCGGAAGTTGGAATTTCCGAGGAGAATACAAACGCACCATTAGCTATGTAAAAAAACAAAGCTGTCAAGCTAACGCTATCTTAAACATTTTATTTTGCTGCTGGAGCAGATTAAAAAGCCTCATACTCAGATTGGTGTTGCTGATTTCATCATCACCCAATAGCCCATCGCATTTAGTGAAGGGAACCCAAATTTTAGAGCGCGTTTGCTTTCTTCTAGTTGGATTTTCGGTGTTCTGAGGAGAAAGTGAACGCACCATTAGCATAACAGTGTCTAACATGTCAAGCTAACGTTATCTTAAACATTTTATTTACCTACCAGAGCAGATTAAGATGACGATGCCTCACTTAGATCTTTGTCGCTGGTTTTCATCACCCAGTTACCCATCCCACTTAGTGAAGTGGACCCAAACATCAGAACGCTTCATCTCTGCCACGCTCCTTTGTTTACAGCTCGCCTACAATGACTGACGACGTGCGTCGGCACACGGCACGAGTACGGAAACAAGGCACCGTTTCATATGAAGTTAATCGGTACTCAGTCGGTACTGTGGAATTCGGTCGGTGCCTTGTGGGCCATTCCCATCTGTACCGGGTCGGCCCGGGCCGGGTAGCCCCAGCCGGCCCCAGCCTGGCCCGGTTGATTCCACACATCCTTGTCTTAAGCCCATGTGGGCTGATTCTACCCACCAATCAGAGGCTTGCTCTAATGGAAGGTGTGAATTTGCTGTCAGCAGTGGGTGTGTTGGCCTTGGTCGGCCTGAAGCAGACCCCCTCGAGAAGAGGGCTGAGAATGAGCCTTGGTTGGCCCGGAAAAATACCAGGCCACCCAGATATGTAAACAACCTACGCTACCCGGCCTAGGCCGACCCGGTACAGATGGGAATGGCCCATTAGAAAGTACTGAATTCAGTACCCTTCCCTACTTATAAGTACTGGATCGTACCATTTTCAAGGGATTATTTTGTCTTAAAGGTTACATGATTGTACTTCAAATGGTAC